TAATTTGGCAAACCCCTCAAGAGCTCGTTTATTATCATTGGCACAGTAGTTGGAATTTTGACAGGCCCTAACGAATGAGGACATGAGGTTATTTAAATGAAGAGTGAATGCATCTAATGATTCCTCTGGCCTAGACGCTGTGCACACTAGTTCCTTTAGGACAATGAATGGATCAGTCACTCTCACTGGTTCAAGATAGTTATGTATTAACCCTTTCAGGGTCGCCATGCCCTCTCCGAGATTTGTTCTCAGGGTCGCCAAATTTTCAAAAAAAAAAAAAAACATTAATTTTTATGAAAAAGATAGAGAATCTTTTCCTGATCATAATAACACCAAAAGTATGAAATTTGATGGAAAACTTACGGAATTATGCTCTCGTGAAGTTAGCGGTCTTGATGATGTTTATGCATCAGCGATTTTGCCCACTTTGAGTCAACAAAAATCATAACTATTTTGCTAGAACTCCATTTTTTCTATCGAATGAGTACAAGAAACCACCTATTTACCGATTTCTACTATCCAATAAAGTGGTCAGAATTTAGCTATTTTGCCAATTTCACAAATTTCAAAAGATGCCAATTTCTGAATAGGGCCCAGAATAAACAAGAAAGACATTCCTGGCACTAAAATAAAATTTCCTCCGTTTATTAGTCATGTCCCTATGCCCCTCTTACATTCTTTTGCTTTCCACTTCGAATTTTTATTCTCACAAAAAATAGAAGATTTACTGTTATGCAGACTACTGCATTAGTGTAGAAATGGTATAAATAATATCAGCGCACTTGTGAAAGAATATTAGACTCGTACATTGGACGCGTAGCATGATTTTGTTTACTTTTGAACTTTGGTAAAAATCGAACATTTCTGCTACTTTGAGCTCAATTTCAAGGTACTTTTCATTGTAAAACCAGTCAAAATCATCTCAATTTCTGTAATATGTCTTCCATTCTATAAAATGAGACCAGGAAAACTAGAATACAACAATAAATACCATACGAAAATACAGTGCAAATTCGCTGTTTTAATCCAAAAACAGTTTTTTTTTCTCATTACGCACTGTGTGCTGCAGGATTTTTTTTTTATACTGTGCACACTGACCACACAGACCCATTCTTTCATATGTAGGCCTACCAGCTTTCTCTCACTAGATTTGAGGACGCTAGAATTTAAGCGTACTAGTACATCAAAAACCCTGGTGCGTAAGCCGTACTAGTGCGTCCAAAACCCTGAAAGGGTTAACTGCTCATAATGTTAAAACATGGTGAAGCCCTGGAAGTCCTTCATCCAGATCAAGTTAGACATTCGAGGCGGCTGGTGAACGAGCTAAACTCTCCTTTCCAATACTAATAATACAACTCTCAGCTGGAGGGCCATCCACTGAGACATTTGCTCTTGCACAAACAGCAGTGAACCAAGCTTCCAGGTTCTCTGGATCCCCATTGAACAAAGGCATCGCATCATAAGTGTCACGGCTAAAGTTCCAGAGTTGCTAGGTCTTAGTGTGTGTGTCGTTTGATAAAGAATTACTCAAATTGTGGACTGACTCATTATTGCTTGGACTAGCAGAATGTACTGAGGCATCACTTAAAAGGACTTGAGACATGAATGCAAAATGTGAAACAAGAATGTAAAAAAACAAAAAAATATAATTGGAGGAACACATGACACAGTAAACTTAAATGGGAAGAAAATGCTTAACTATTCTGCATCAGTAAAGAAAAAAAAAATAACAAGTCACACTGTAGAGCAAGGAAAACTCACATAAAAATAATATACTCAAATGGATAAGCAACACTTTGATAATCAAGAGAAATTGTACTTTACTCAAATCAAATTTACTCAAATTTACTTTAATTTGAATTAATGGCACAGTGAGTTGTCTTTACTCTCAGTTCAATAAAGAAATTCAACAATAAATGATAAATCAATCAAAAATGATAAAAAGGAATCAAGAAATCTTGTGGAAAATTAAAATGGACTGGGAAAGCAATTTTCTTAAAAAAAAAAAAAAAAAAAAAAAAAAAGTGACACACAAAGAATAAAATATTATGCACAGAACACAAGAAATGTAAAACATAAATCACATAATATTGCACTGAAATAAACTGTAGCAATATTGCAAATAATAATTACTAATTAAAAAGTACTGTACAACACTACATAAAAAAAAAGTTTCTGAAAGAGAAAATTAATGGCAGCACAATACTTGCACAAGAGTCATTGCAGAATAAGTCAGTACTGCAGTAATAAAAAAATATTGCACACACAAGAAAATGCAGTTTACACAAACAGTAAAAAAAAATTATCAAGGAATGAACTGATTGAACACTTTAACTCTTAATTGCAGCTTAAGCAACACTTACTGGACAAGCAAAAGAACGATTTACTTTAAAAAGAAGTTAAAAATTGCACTAAGAGTGAATTTGTTCAATGAAATATGAAGAATTGAGGGCAAAAATTACAAAACAGGGAAAGGTTACCACTTACAATGAGGCAGGAACACAGCACATCAATATATGCACAATACTGTGATAATTTTGTTGCAATAAGGTCTTGTGTTGACAAAAATTGGAAATAATTGTCTTGCTTCAAACAAAATAATGGCACTATTGTCTGTGGAGATGGAACAAATTAGACACTGGCTAAATAAAAAGAATTAGCACAAAAGAATGTTCAACACACAATAAAATGGGAAATGAATTAATAAAAAAAAATCAGTAAGAGTACACAAATGCTGGGAAAAAAAATAACTGAGACAACACTGAGTTGTGATGCAGAATATAAGATAACATTTACTGAATTACTTTACTTCATAACTTACTGGGCAAGGAACACAATACTGTGTATACACGATAATTGTGAAGTGTAAACACAAGTTTATACTGCTTTTATATTGCACACAACAGGAAAAAATCGAAAAGTACTTACTTCAAGAATATAAAAAAAAAAGGAACACAGCACAACAGACATAAAAATAAAGCACAAAAATTTAAACACTGAAGAGAGAAAAAAAAGTATTGCAACAGTATGTAACCAAGAGTCACTGAATGTCACTAAGAAATCACTGAGAAAAAAAAAAATGTTTCAACACTTGCAAATGTCCGTGTAAAAAGCATATTATCACTGGAGCGACATTAGTGGAGAATTGAGGGTGATGGTGGTGGAGAAGGGTGGTTGTAGCTGGCGCGGCTCTCCACTACTCTCAACACGTTGACGTCTCGAAAAATTTACGCTTAAATTCGAGGAACTCACATAGCAAGGCTTTTCTCATTGGCGCACAGGTACGATGAAATAATCTTGTGTCCTGACCCGCTATGTGAGCTGTAAAATAAGGTGTTAGGACCCGATATAAGGGTAAAAAAAAACAAAAAAACAGTGGTGGTGGTGGAAGGTGTGGGTGAGTGAGGCAGCACGCTGGGACACTGCATGGTGACTAGGTCTACTGGATAAACGGTGTAACCCACGTGCTCTGGGTACACCCACACTAGGCACGAAAATATTCTAAGCCAGGCTGGCTTAAAAACCCACAAGATATCACAACACCACAGGGACGGTAAAGCACTCAGGATAGTTTAGAACTGGAAGCACAAAGCGATGGTGAAGGCTGGAACTCGTGTGGCTTGCTTGAGCACTGGGTTAGTCACCTGGGTTAGTTGGCCGGAACTCGTGTGGCTTGCTTGAGCACTGGGTTAGTCACCTGGGTTAGTTGGCTGGCTTGCTTGACTTAACCCGTCACACAGACTGGCTTGAGAACTTATAACGATGAGCAAATATTGTGTTGCACACAGCAGGTGGACATTTATCTATTGTGCATGACAGTGATCAGGCGGGTTACAGAAGTTACTGGAAAATATGAAAAATTTAGAAAACCCTAGAAAGTACAAAATACTGAAATAAAATTGAAAAATGTTCAGTGTGCAGTAATGTTGGCATCAGCAGGTCATCAACCTTCAACCTCACACCTTTATATCTCAATAAGTACTGATGCAAATTTTTATTGTTTTATTACCATAAAGAAAAAAATGTACTCATAATTGATAAGATTTTTTTTGTTTTTTGTTTTAAATGTGGACACTGAGATCAGGTTCAATTTTTGAGCTTTGGAGAATGATAGTTAAAAGTGAAAGTAGTTAAGTGGAAGATGGTGAAGGTAGCAAAAAAGTATAATAATAATAATAATAATAATAATATTTCAGTATGATACATGTTTGTACAAAGTAATATGGAAGAAGTGGATGTGCAGGTATTTAGGTATTTGGGAGTTAGAGAAGAGGTGAGCCATAAATTAAATGTGGGAAAAAAGGTGGGTGGTGTGTTGAAGTATTTGTGGAAAGAAAGAAGTTTATCTTTGGATGTAAAATGGGGAAATGCACCAGAGTATAGTGGTACCAGCACTTTTATATGAGTGTGAGGCATATGCTTTAAATGTTGCAGTGAGGTTAAAGACAGTGGGAATGTCATGTTTGAGAGTAATGTGTGGTGAATATCAGTGCAGAGAATTTGGAGTGTAGAAATTTAAAGGTGATGTGGGAGTTACCAAGGGTATAAGTCAGAGGGCTAATGTAAGGTTGTGAAGGTGGTCTGGTCATGTGGAGAGGCTGGAGAGAGATGGTTGATGAAGAGTGTGTATAAATCTGAGGCACAGGTTGAGGGAAGGGGTTGTCCCAGGACAGGTTGGAGGGAAGGGATACAAGAGGCTTTGCGTGTTAAGTGGCTTGAGCATCCAGCAGGCATGTGTGTGTTAGGAGCAAATGGCAACAAGTGGTTTTTAACGAATGTTCTGTTAGCCAAACTTGAGCCCTGGAGGTGTGTAAGGCAGTGCTTTCACTGCTTGACAGTGCAGACACTGCTTGAACATGTTTGTTAAGCTAGTGTTCGAATGAATGATTGTGAAAGTTTCCTTTTATGGCTCCCTATTGAATATATATGTAATATAATAACACTATATCAGTTAGTATGTGCTCTTATATTTCTGCATTTGAGTGTGTGTGCATGTCTTAATCTTATCCTCAGTTACTTTATTTGCAGCAATCTTCAAAAACGAAATCATGAGCAATGGGGTGGGTGCGGCGTGTGGTGATGTGGATGGCTTGGTGTGCTGCTCTTACTGCTGCTATCAATTTGCTGCTAATGGTGAGAGCTCCGCCAGCATTGACCTCACTCCATCACCATCACCACCGCTACCACCGCCTCCGCCATTGCACCCTGGCCCCCTCAACAATACCACGCTATGACTTGACGGGAAACAAGGTCTACCTCCAGGGAGAAGTTTACGCCATCAGGGACAGGTTCAGTGTTGGCACTTGTTCCATGGAAGATTTGAAAAAGTTGTTTTGGGGTGCATGGCTTTACTGTTTGATATCGTGTTTCTACCAGACTCATCACTTGAATACTGTACAGTGTTATGTAAAAGCTGGGTCCAAAACTATTAACCTCTTACTTTGCTGTATATTTACTGGTTTTTAATTTTTCATGCTTAACAAGATTTGAGTTGAAGATTTTAACATATTTTCTTTAGTCTGGATAATGTTACCTATAAAATGACTTGTTTATGGCCCCTAAGCTTATAATTCTCTTACCAGTGAATACCACAAGAAGAACCAGCGCAATCGTTCTGGACTGCAAATGCTTCAGTGTGTGTACACACATCTCCCTGCAGTTAAGGCACAATATTCATCAGTGTCACCGTATCTGCAAGATACTGTTGACAGCTTAAAACAAGACATCACCAAGAGAAGAGTTACAGATGATCCTTGGGATCTTGCCCGTAAGGTCAGTTTCCCAGCCTCTCTTCACAAAGTTGTATTAAACTAGTAGTGATGTTTTTCTGATTGCTTTTGTTTGTGCATCTTGCATGTAGCCAGTCTTCAGAACCTATATTTAAGTGCTTGTGGAAGTCACTTCAACCAGTGATCTTCATTCTTTTTTTTTCTAGAACTTACAAGTACACTTAAGAATGTTAATTAATAATAATGTTTATTAAAACTTGGTTATGTCTATCACTTAATTTTACTCTTGATTAAGGTATCATTAGTATCAGAATGTATAAGAGATGCTAACAGCAGTGCAACGTCTCACAGGTGTGCAAGTTCATGAGTACCGGTAGATTGTGTAATTGTTGTTATGGAATAAATAAGAATTATTATCCATTGGCAAACTGAGAATCACTTAGGCTTTTATTGACCCTTAACTCTTTAACTGGAGGATAGCCTGAAAAAAAATTGTTTGAGAAGGTGGAAATTGTTGTGGAAGGTGTTGTGGCATTGGGCAAGTCCATGGGGTTGGAGGTGAGTGACGGGGATGTGGAAGAGTTGGTGGAAGACCACAGGGAAGAGCTAACCACTGACGATTTGCAAGAGCTTCAACTGGAACAGCATCAGACCACAGCCGAGGAACTTGCTTCAGAGGAGGAGGAAGAGGGAGTGGATGAGGTGCCTTCTTCAAAGATTAAGGAGATTTGTGCCAAGTGGAATGAGTTGCAAAGTTTTGTTGAAAAGTACCACCCTGACCAAGTTGAAACAAGCCATATCTGCAACATGTACAATGACAGTGTTGTGTCCCACTTCAAGAAAATCTTAAAGAAACGCCAGAAAAAGACCTCTCTGGACACATATTTTGTGCGACAGGGGTCCAGTGACTCTCAAGTTGTTCCCATTGGCATTAAAAGAAGAAGGGAAGTAACCCCAGATAAGGACTTGCTACCTAAAGTCCTAATGGAAGATTCTCCTTCCAAACAACAGTGTACACCTTCCTCCTATCCCCTCCTCCCATCTTCCATCCACCCAGAAGTCTTCAGTAAAGGTAAGTGTAATGTTATTATTATTTTTTATATGCATGTACTTGATTTCTCATTGATTTCAGTATATAAATCTTTATTTAATTTGAAAAAAAAAAAAATTATTTTAATATTTTTGGGTGTCTGGAACGGATTAATTTTATTTCCATTATTTCTTATGGGGAAAATGGTTTCGAGTTTCGTGAATTTCGACTTTCGGCAGGCTCTTTGGAACAGATTAATTACAAAACTCGGGGGTCCACTGTATTTCTGTAATAAATCTTTCATTTTATCAAATGAGACCGAAAAAATGAGAATATATCCATAAAAAACATACAAAAATATACTGCTAAGCTGCCGCTAATGGCTGAGAAGTGAACTCGACTATTTATGGTCTGATTTCGTTCATTTTTAGTGTACGTTAAGAAGTATCTTTCCATCATACATTGCCCAAGTTTGAATAAGATAACCTAACAAACAACTGAGAAAATAATATAATAATGATAATTTATTTACTACACGTATACATGTACAAGGTATACAGGCCTAGCTGACATCAGTGACATACTACTACATAGAAAGCCACTTGTTATAAGAACATAAGAAAGAAGGAATACTGCAATAGGCCTACTGACCCACACAGAGCAGGTCCATTCCTCCCCCCGGATTAGACCAATGACCCACCCCCCGGATTATCCCAATGACCCACCCAGTCTGGTCATCCCCACTCAAGGATGGAGCACTGTACCAGACCCAGCAGCAAAGCTAGTCAGGTCCAACTCACACCCACCCACACCCACTCATGTATTTATCTAACCTATTTTTAAAACTACACAACGTTTTAGCCTCAATAACTGTACTCGGGAGCTTGTTCCACTCATCCACAACTCTATTACCAAACCAGCGCTTTCCTATATCCTTCCTGAATCTGAATTTTTCCAACTTGAAACCATTGCTGCGAGTCCTGTCTTGGCTGGAAATTTTCAGCACACTATTTACATCCCCTTTATTTATTCCTGTTTTCCATTTATTCACCTCGATCATATCCCCCCTAATTCTACGCCTTTCGAGAGAGTGCAGATTCAGGGCCCTCAGTCTATCCTCATAGGGAAGATTTCTGATACATGAGATCATCTTTGTCATCCTCCTTTGTACGTTTTCCAGAGCATTTATGTCCATTCTGTAATACGGTGACCAGAACTGAGCAGCATAGTCTAAATGAGGCCTAACCAAGGATATATAGAGTTGAAGAACAACCTGAGGACTTCTATTATTTATACTTCTAGATATGAAGCCAAGAATTCTGTTAGCTTTATTGCGAACACTAATGCACTGTTGTCTTGGTTTTAGATTACTGCTGACCAGAACTCCTAAATCCTTTTCGCAATCGGTAGTATTAAGATCTACATTATTTAGTTTATATGTGGCATGGTTATTTAACTGTCCAACATTTAGAACTTTGCATTTGTCAATATTAAACTGCATCTGCCACTTCTCCGACCATTGCATCAGTCTATTCAAATCATCCTGGAGTGCTCTAATGTCCTCATTAGAATGAATTGGACGGCCTATTTTGGTGTCATCAGCAAATTTGCTTATGTCGCTATTTATTCCCTCATCTATGTCGTTTATGTAAATTGTGAACAACAACGGGCTCAACACTGACCCCTGAGGAACACCGCTTGTGATGTGCCCCCATTCTGATTTCTCCCTATTTATGCAAACTCTCTGCTGTCTATTTATCAGCCATGCCTCTACCCAGGAAAAAATTTCTCCTCCTATTCCGTGTGCCCTTAGTTTCCTCAATAGCCTCTGGTGTGGAACTCTGTCGAAAGCCTTACTGAAGTCCATATACACAATATCATATTCATTACCATGATCTACCTCCTCAAACACCTTAGTGAAAAAAGTTAGTAAATTCGTAAGACAGGAACGCCCCTTTGTAAAACTGTGTTGAGAATCATTAATCAATCTGTGCCTGTCAAGATGGCTACGAATTGCTTCGGCAATTATTGATTCCATAAATTTTCCCACTATGGAGGTAAGGCTTATTGGTCTATAGTTCGAAGCCAAGGACCTGTCACCTGCCTTGTAAATAGGTATTGCATTTGCCATTTTCCACTTATCAGGCACTATGCCAGTTTGTAGTGATATGTTAAAAAGATTAGCCAAAGGTATGCTAAGTTCCTCTTTACATTCCTTTAACACCCTTGCAAACAGTTCATCAGGGCCTGGGGATTTGTTAGGTTTTAGTTTCTCTATTTGTCTGAGGACCTTGTCACTAGTTACTGCTGTCGTACATAGTTTATTATCATCCTGTTCTATTATTTTATTTTATTTTTTTATTATCACACTGGCCAATTCCCACCAAGGCAGGGTGGCCCGAAAAAGAAAAACTTTCACCATCATTCACTCCATCACTGTCTTGCCAGAAGGGTGCTTTACACTACAGTTTTTAAACTGCAACATTAACACCCCTCCTTCAGAGTGCAGGCACTGTACTTCCCATCTCCAGGACTCAAGTCCGGCCTGCCGGTTTCCCTGAATCCCTTCATAAATGTTACTTTGCTCACACTCCAACAGCACGTCAAGTATTAAAAACCATTTGTCTCCATTCACTCCTATCAAACACGCTCACGCATGCCTGCTGGAAGTCCAAGCCCCTCGCACACAAAACCTCCTTTACCCCCTCCCTCCAACCCTTCCTATGCCGACCCCTACCCCGCCTTCCTTCCACTACAGACTGATACACTCTTGAAGTCATTCTGTTTCGCTCCATTCTCTCTACATGTCCGAACCACCTCAACAACCCTTCCTCAGCCCTCTGGACAACAGTTTTGGTAATCCCGCACCTCCTCCTAACTTCCAAACTACGAATTCTCTGCATTATATTCACACCACACATTGCCCTCAGACATGACATCTCCACTGCCTCCAGCCTTCTCCTCGCTGCAACATTCATCACCCACGCTTCACACCCATATAAGAGCGTTGGTAAAACTATACTCTCATACATTCCTCTCTTTGCCTCCAAGGACAAAGTTCTTTGTCTCCACAGACTCCTAAGTGCACCACTCACTCTTTTTCCCTCATCAATTCTATGATTCACCTCATCTTTCATAGACCCATCCGCTGACACGTCCACTCCCAAATATCTGAATACGTTCACCTCCTCCATACTCTCTCCCTCCAATCTGATATCCAATCTTTCATCACCTAATCTTTTTGTTATCCTCATAACCTTACTCTTTCCTGTATTCACCTTTAATTTTCTTCTTTTGCACACCCTACCAAATTCATCCACCAATCTCTGCAGCTTCTCTTCAGAATCTCCCAAGAGCACAGTGTCATCAGCAAAGAGCAGCTGTGACAATTCCCACTTTGTGTGTGATTCTTTATCTTTTAACTCCACGCCTCTTGCCAAGACCCTCGCATTTACTTCTCTTACAACCCCATCTATAAATATATTAAACAACCACGGTGACATCACACATCCTTGTCTAAGGCCTACTTTTACTGGGAAAAAATTTCCCTCTTTCCTACATACTCTAACTTGAGCCTCACTATCCTCGTAAAAACTCTTCACTGCTTTCAGTAACCTACCTCCTACACCATACACTTGCAACATCTGCCACATTGCCCCCCTATCCACCCTGTCATACGCCTTTCCAAATCCATAAATGCCACAAAAACCTCTCTAGCCTTATCTAAATACTGTTCACTTATGTTTCACTGTAAACACCTGTCCACACACCCCCCACCTTTCCTAAAGCCTCCTTGTTCATCTGCTATCCTATTCTCCGTCTTACTCTTAATTCTTTCAATTATAACTCTACCATACACTTTACCAGGTACACTCAACAGACTTATCCCCCTATAATTTTTGCACTCTCTTTTATCCCCTTTGCCTTTATACAAAGGAACTATGCATGCTCTCTGCCAATCCCTAGGTACCTTACCCTCTTCCATACATTTATTAAGTAATTGCACCAACCAC